AGCAATAGTCACAATGCCAAATGCTGAGAAAGATTTGCAGAAACTGGATTCTCTCACACACTGCTGATGGGAATGTAAAATTCACTATAATACAATCCAGAATTAATCCTCCAAATGGTAAGTTATTTTCACATAAACACTGGCACAGGAAAGTTTACAGAAGCTTTAATTGTTAATACACAAAAATTGAGATCAGTCTCGATGTCCCTCAACAGATTAAACGTTAAACAAACTGTGGTATATGCCCCATAGAACACTACTTAATAATGTAAAGAAACAAACTATTGACACATGGACCCCCCTGGATGAATCTCTAGGAAATTATGCTGAGCGACAAAAGCCAACCCCAAAAGGCTATATTCTGACTCTTTTTCACATAACATTTTTGTAATGATGAACCCTTTGAAACAGAGGACAGAATAGTGAATGTCAAGCTTGAGGCGAGAGGAAACGGGAGAGGATCAGGAAGGAGGTGGCTGTAGTTAGAAAAGGGGAACACAGGGAGTCTTGTGATATTAGAACTATCTGTATCTGGACCATGGTGATCGATATATGACTCTACACCAATGATAAAACAGTATAGAACTTAACACACACAAATGAATACGAGCAAACTGGGCGAACTAAATGAGAGCAGTTAGTTGTATCAATGTCATTATCCCTACTTGTGATATTGTTCTATATCAATATATTTGAAAGACGTTACCATAGCGGGAGAGTGGGCAAAGTGCACAAGGGATCTCTCTGTACGATTCTTACAGCTGTATGTTAACCTAAAATTCTCTCCAAAAGTTCCACATAAAAAGAGATGTGAAAATGACTGATGTATGAGTGTCCCCTTATAAATATTGTTGCAGTAATTTTAAAACATGGCCACAAATTCTATGGTACACATCTCATGGAGTAATAGAGTTTAAAGCCCTCTCTTTGAATCAGGCAGTTCTGTGGCTGCTTTGACTAACAGACTGCAGTAGATGTGATGCTGAATGACCACCAAAGCTAGATCAGAAAAAGCCTTAAAGTTTATGCCATGGCTTCTTGGAATGCTCACTCTCCCAAGCCTCTTACAAAGAACGTGACACTCTGTCTCAGAAATAAGCCATCATGCAGTGAGAAGTTCAAGCTACATATATGTTTGAAAAGAAGGAGATGACAGAAAATAGAAAGTGTAGGAGAGAAAAAAAATAGAAGAAATTACGGCTGCAATTTTCGACAAATTGATGAAAAACTTGAAATTATAGGCTCAATAACCACAAGTTAATCTCAAACAGGATACATACAAATAAGACCAAACAAGCACATCATTATCAAATTGCTGAAAACTAAAGATAAAGAAAAAAATTTGAAAGCAGACAGACAGAAAAAAAAAAACATTAAATACAGAAAAACAACAGTTTGGGAATAATGAACTTCTTATCAGAAGCAGCAGAGGCAAGAAGAAAGTGGAAAAACTATTTAAAATGTGGGGGAAAAAACCTATTGGACCAGAATTCTCTAACCAATGAAATATCCTTCATAAATAAAGGAGAATAAATATGATTTCTAGGTTAAAAAAAATGGAAAGAATCCTTTGTCAGTAGATCATATCTACAAGAAATGCTCAGGAGATTTTTCAGGCTGAAGGGAAATGATATCAGATAGAAACTCTGACCTTCGGAAGTAATAAAGACCACAAAACAAGGTAATATAAATAAGCATAAAAGACTACTTGTGCTTTAAATGTCTTTAAAATATGTATGACTGTTTAAAGAAAATGCCTTAACATTGTATTTTATAGTTTATAATATATGCAGATACAACACATATGACAGTGAATAAAGGACAAGGAGGGATTTAAATGAAGCTATAAAATTGCAACATTTCTATATTTCATGGGAAGGGGTAAAATATTAATTTTAACTGCACTGTGAAATATTAGAGATGTATATCATAATTCTTAGAACATACACTGAAAAAAATAACACAAAAATGTATATAGCTACCATGAGAATAGCTAATTTAAAATACAATTCTAAGTGGCCTATTTGCTTACCTTAATAGCTGTGACATGGCATGCTTCCTATTTAAACACACAACAAGGAGCCAACTGCAATACTTTCCAGAGACCAGAGAGACTGGCAGGTGCCATTTTTGTGCTGAGCTTCTGCCTCACCCTAGGTCACAGGCACCTCCTGAAAAAAAGCTTGTGCATGTGTATGGCACCCCAGGTTTTGCTGCCACCTAGGAGATGCCCCTTGATTGTGGAGCACTGGTGGCCATGTTCAGGAGTTCAATGGGATTGTAGCAAACAAAAAAATATTTAACTGACACATCCATAGGGCTCAGTGCAGAGGGAGCAGACAGAAACACCCATCTCCCAGTCTTGCCCTGAAACAGGTATATTTTCATAATTTAAAGGCTACTATGAAAACTGAGAGCTAATGATGAAAGACAAAATGATTTCTCCCTAAGATCAGGAACAAGAATAGACGGCCCACTCTTACCACTTTGATTCAACATTACTCTGTAGATTCTATCCATTCCAACAATATCAGATAAAGAAATAAAAGGCATAAAAATCAGAAAGTAAAAAATATTACTGTGTCTATTTGCAGATGGCATGATGGTTTACACAGAAAATCCCAAGTAATCTAAAAATCAACTACCATAACTAATAAATGAATTTACCAAGGTGGTAGGATGCAATATGCAAATACACAATATGCAAACATTTACTCAAAATTGAAACAATTAACAAACGAATTTTTTAAATATTCTATCATGGCACCAAAACCTCCATGAAACACTTAGGAATAAATTTAGCAGAAAATATGAAAGAATTTTAAACTAAATAATGCAAAAAATAAATTTTTTAAACCTAAATAAATGGAGAGTTATATCATTTTCATGGATTGGAAGTCTTAATATTACTAAAATACCACTTCTCATCAATTGATCTATAGATACATGACAACTCCAATCAGAAGCCAGGGTTGTTTTTTTGGAAAACTGAAATGCTGATTCTAAAACTTTTTGGAAATGGAAAGGACTAGAATATCTAAAACAATCTTGAAAAAGAACCAAGATAAATTACTAATACTACTTAAGATTACACTTGGTATAAAGGTATGGTAATGAAAACCGTGTGGCACTGGCACAAAGACTGACAAATAAATCAATGAAAGAGAACAGTGGAAAGAAAACAGTGCATCAAAGAAGAAATATAACATATTTGGATCAAATCTTCAAAGAACTGTAAATGTCTTCACTGCAGCAAATAGGCCACAATAAATTTGGACTTACCTTAGTTTGGGGAAAATTTCAAGTTACTTAAATCTTGCTAAAATCAAAGAACTATATTCAGCAATAAATAAGAAACTAATACAAGATGAAAAGGCCGTAAAGTTGAAAATTGAACGAAACCAAGAATACGGCAGATGGATTAAATATTTCAGATTTATAAATGAGAAAAGTCCCCAGAATGCTTCTGTGAAAATACTCTTGCCTGGAAATTATGAATTCTTTTTATTATTATGCTAGGTATTATATTGTTACTATAATATCATCAAGCCAGAAAAGTACCAATCTTTATTTTGCCAGACCAGGCCAAAAAGAGACTATTTTATGCCAAGAAAGGAAAGATAGAGAAAGAGAATGGGAAGGGACAGGAGAGGGGAGAAAGAAAAAAAGAAAGGAAAGAAGGAAGACGTATGTATAGCAGAAAAAAGTTTTCAAAATACAGGAAAAGTCACAGGGCAGAATGTTTGTGGAGTAACCTAATATAACCAAGTAATAGTCTAAAGGAACAAATGGAGTTAATGAAATTGCAGACCTTTTCTACTGAAAACTTCATGGTTTGCTGAGTGATTTGTTATTTCTGTGTTTATATTTTAAAAGGTAGAGATAAAGTTGACTCTTAGCATTAAAAATGACATAAGAAAACTGCAAATGGATAATACCATGACACCACCTTGAAGGAAAATAATAAAATTCCCCTACTCCTAATGCCTATGCTTGAACACACCTTCCCACTCCATCACCACAGGAATCATACCAGCTCAGGGTCTATGGCTATTTAAAACTTTAAAGATTGGTAGAAAGCTAAAAGACGTATCAGCTACTAACTAAAGAATGATTGGCACAGTACTCATGGATTAAGAAATAGGATTAGAAAAATAAGATTGATTGCTCTCTGTTCTTGGTGCCCCCAAACTTAAGTCCTATTTCAAAAGTAAAGAAAAAATCTATCCATGTGAGGTAAATACTAAGAAAATTTTTTAAATAACAATAATCGGAAATATATAGACAGACAATTTAAGCTTATTTCAGGAGGTTTACTGGGTACAAATTAAGAAATCATTCCCCTGTCAATTTCACTGGGCAAAAGTAAAGGATGTTGATCTGAATATGCAATACTATAGATTTAACAGAAATTTTTAAAATCATAATGTACATAGTTTTATATTTCAAATATTTAAAAATATTATTTTTCAGTGTTTATGGTCATTGAAGAGTAATTAGAGATAGGAAAATATTGCCATAAAGTTACTGAGCATGTACAATGTGTTAAGCATAATGTAAAAGAGAAAACTAAATTAATTTGCCGCTGGGAGCTACAGTATAATGTTCATCCTAAGCGTAGATACAGGATGCTGGGTATGGAGCAATATGAAAATAGTTAACAAATAGTATACATCAAATTTATTATTTAGGATACATAACAGTAACATGGAAAGAATTCTACCTGATTAATAATTATAAATCAATTTGCAATAGCAAATAAGGCCAAATAAATGGGAAAATCATCCTTCTGAATATAATCAGTGACAAAATTTAAAATCATTTCATAAAAATATTAACTCCATTAAATTATTATCATTTAATATTTTATGAAGTTTACTTTCATTATTGAATTCCCTAAATGTGTGTGGGGTGGAGGTCAATGTGTTTTATAAATAGCTAGGATTCTTACTTACACACTGGGCATGTTCTTTTTTTTCCCCCAGCCTCACAAAACATACCTTAGCTAGTCTTCTGGAAGATTCACAATTATGGTCTGCACATGGCTTGGGTCCTTTTTCAGGTTCTATAGATGAAACTGAGAACATATATTTTATCATGAGTCTAAAGTATTATATCACAATATTTATATCAGCCATTCAAATATAAAAGAGATAGTTTGTCTAATATTTCACTTCCACTGAAAAATTAAGCAAATTTCCTAAGGTTAAATCACTATTTTCAGCTAAAAATGTAAGTTAAAGATTTGTTTTATATAAATAAGGAAAACCTCACTATTATAGTGAACCTAAGAACTAGTCAACTTTCTTGATAGTTAATGTTCGGGTATTGATTTCACAAAGTTTTTAACAACAGAATTATCTTAACTTTTATAGCATATACATGTATGTATATGTAGAAATGTGTGTGTGTGTTCACTCAATATTCTATATAACTCTAGCCATATAATACAGTGCGTGTCATTTGACTAACTCAATTCTTAATCTCTGCAAACTGATAAACCATGATGATAATACTGGAAAGGGAAGGAGGATGGACTAGAGTAGCGGCCACAGTAATTGAAATAATGAACATATTCAGGCATACATGCATACATGTATCTAATTATTCAACAAATTATTATTGGAAGTCTACTACGTATCAAGGGGTAGTCTAGGAGTCAGGGATATATAAGTGATCAATATCAATAAACACTCTGGCCTTTTGGAAACTATATTCTAATGCAGGGAGAGAAACAATAATCAGTTCATAAACATATTGTGTGACAAGGTGATAAGTACTAGGGTTAAAAAGAAAAGAAAAAGAGAAGGGAAAGGGGGACTGGAATTGTGAGATGGTGATAGGGATACAATTTTAAATTAGGTGATAACCAATGATATTTGAGCAAGAAAATGAAGGAGGTTTAAAGGCTACCCATGAGATGAGATAGTATAAAATCTCCAAGGTAGAAACATTCATGACATGCTAAAAGGACCAACGAGGCAAGTATGGCTAGAGCACAGTAAGCAAAGGAGATGAAGAAATAAAATGCAGCCATATTGTGTAGGCCACTATAAACTTTGGTTTGGTTTACATTCTGAGTAAAAAGGAAGCCATGACAAGATTTTTTGAAGAGCAATAACATGGAAGAGTAGCATGACAGATTAAATTATTGTCACTGATTCCTCACCCACTATGCATCCACACCCTTGCTGTGGCATATATGTGGTCAGAGTATCATCTGATGACTTTGGGACTGGCCACGTGACTTGCCAATGACCATGGAGAGGAGTGAAAGTAAGCTAATTTGGAGTCTTGTTCCTAATATTTTTTAGTTTGTTCTTTTGTGCTTCTCTTACCATCATGAGCAGAGCTTCCCCTTGGTGGCTGCTGTCACTTCAGACATGGCGCTATAATAAAAACTCATGGGGCACTGATAGCCAACCAACCAAAGCTGTACCCACAATGTGACACACAAATACCTAACTGAGTCCAGCCTAGGCACAGCCTAACCCGAGAAAATTCACATACCTTTAAAAATAAATGGTCACTGTTTTAAAATTTAATGTGATTTTTTATGTTACATTTTTGTATTGAAAGGAGAGATTTTAAAAATTAAGTGGCTATTTTAGTAATTCATTCAAAACATATTGATGGCTAGAACCACAATAGTAGAAGGGGAGTGGGGTCAGAAATAGCTGGACTCTGATAATATTCTGAAGGTAAAACCAACAAGATTTCTTGAGAACTGAGAATATGAGAGTTAAAGGTGACTCCAAGATTTCTGAACTCAGAAACCAGAAGTGATAGTAATAATCAGATGGGAAAGGCTGAGGGGACAGCAACATTTTGGGAGGAGAAGAATGGGAAGAGGAAGATATTCAGTTTTGTACATGTCCAATGTTAAAAATTTAGGGGTTAGCCTGGTGGTATAGTGGTTAAGTTCACACACTCTGCTTTGGCAGCCCAGGGTTCACGGGTTCAGATCCTGGGCATGGATCTACACACAGTTCATCAAGCCATACGGAGGCAGCATCCCACAGACAAAAATAAAGGAAGACTGGCACAGATGTTAGCTCAGGGACAATCTTCCTCAAGCAAAAAGAGGAAGATTGATAAAAGATGTTAGCTCAGGACCAATTTTCCTCACCAAAAAAAACTTAGAAAAGAGGACAAATAAGCAAAGGAAACTGAGAAGGAGAAATATCAAGCCTTGTGCCTGAAGCCAAGTAAAAAAAGTAAATCACAGAAGATGTGCCAAACTTTTCAAAGATATGTTAGACGACAACTGAAAAGTGACCATTGGATTCAGTAGTGTAGAAATGACTAATGACTTTGCAAGACCATCTGAGAGAATACTCTATTGCACTACCAAGATATAAAAATCAAAGAGGGAATAAGTAAAAGATGTAAAGGATTCTCTTTAATTAATTTTTCTAAATTATCTCATTAATCTGATTACCATACAGCTCTAAAACCCTCAGTTACTCCACATTATATATCAAAATATATGGAAAGAAATCTGATTTCTAGCCCTGGGTATATCACTAATAAACATGGGTATATTATTTAATATCTCCTTGAGACTTCCACTATCTACTCTGTAAAACAAGAAGGTTAAACACCGTGATTGTGTCATTCTTTCTAGCCATGAAAATATGATTAAAAACATAAATATGTCAATCTAGCTAAGTTCTCTATAATATAAACACAAGCCATCATGACAATTTTACTTTTCCCAAATTCTCTATACATATCCTACCCATTAGCCATTCTAGAATGTTTCCCAAATATACCCTATGTTGTCTGTGTAAATGACTTGAAGTCACAATTTTACATAGAATTTCTTTAAAACATCAGTAATTTTTCATGGACATCTTTAACTGTTCATCTCCTTAAGGACATCCTCCCTTTCACATACCCCAGAGAAGGTGGAATCTCTACTACAGTATTTGCAGAACCTGAACTATTGTTACATGAATATTTTCTTTTTACCAGACTATGAGCTCTTTGAAGAGAGATCCTTAATCTATGTTACCAGCCTATTGTTATGTAAAATACTTTTGATAGATAAGTATTGTTATGCAGATAATAAAATTGACCACAAAGTATTAAAAAATGCAGAGTACATTCATAAAATACTGTGAAATGTTATTTCAACATCTTTCTTTAAATCCTTCCCAAGTCAGTACATGTCATGAAACTTCACTGTTGCCATCTGAACTGATATCAGAAGGTATTATAAAACATCACATACAAAACAATAAAATAGGTCAGAGTTATTTTATAAAATCAGACAGAACAGTGGTTGACCTGAAGCAGACTTTGGATTACCGGTGTACATTTGGAAAAAAAAAAAGGTTTTTTATGGCCTATTTTTAAATTCAATCCTTTAAAAATGTGACTATCCTAAATCTAGACCTGGAAAAAATAAAATTTCTAAATTTATGTATCAGAAATACAGAACTGAGATTAAAAAACAGTCACAAAATATAGCCAAATCTTTAAATTATCACCTACCTAGGGTAAATCTTTTGAAAGTATTCTTCATTAAGTGATTAAAAAGATGGTAGATCAAGGTCTGCCCATGTATCATAATGTGATTATGAGATCGGATGATCATGATGATGTACAATCTTTTTCACTTTGAATCATTATAAAAGTTTAAAGCAAATTAAAAAGTTCATTAAAATCTGCTATTCATTAAAATAAATGAAAATGTTGGAAACCATAACACAGAGTCAACAGACATCATCCAGTTTTCAGAATCAGTACAGATAGTGACCACTCAAGTAACTAACTTCCATGTCTCTGCTTAAGTTAAATCCAGTACTCTTGGTAGTAAGACCCCTGAGACAGTATATTCCTCCCCACCATGTTAGGCAAGCCACACAACTCTCATGCTCTCTGGAACTGAGAGAACACTTTTTTTCCTGAGCTTCTGCCTCCCATTATATACCATCTTTATTTAGATCAGATGGCTAACCTCATCATATATGAGACCACTTTTGCTTTCTTCTTAGATAAGCTTCCCAGAATATTAAAAAATGAAAAAGACAGCAGTGACATCAGTTAAGATGACTAGGAAACTGCAAGCCAAGTCCTACCACAGAAATGTTGAAAATAAGACAAAAAACTATCACAGTCAATTTTGTACTAACTCTGAAAAATAGTTAAATGTTTACAACAATCAAGTGAATGCCGAATCAATGGAAGTTGACTTAAAAACAGCATTTAAGGAAATTTCAATCAAATAACTAGCTAACAACAACTTAAAGAAAAAGAGACATCAGAGATCACACACAGCAAATATAATCTTTACAACAGTAGTTTAGAAAAGTCACTAAACAGACAATAAAAACCTACACAGACAACAAGAAAAAATACAAAAAAGATGGAAGAATCTGATTTCAATAGTACTATATTAGAATATTCAAAATGTACAATTTGCAAAAAAATTACACACAATGCAAATAAAAAAGATAGTATAGACCATTCACAATAAAAATTAATAGAAAGTGTCCCTGTGGAAGCACAAACATTGGACTTAGTAGACAAAGACTCTAAATCAACTCTGTTAAATATGCTCAAAAAGCTAAAGGGAATAATGGACAAAGAAAAACAACCCCCAAAAAAGGAAAATGATATCTCAATAAATAGAGAATATCAATAAAGAGAGAGAAAATATGAAAAGAATCAGACAGAAATTCCAGAACTGACAATTACAACAACTAAAATGAGGAATTCACTAGAGGTTTTCAATAACATATTTAATCTTGTGAAAGAATCAGTGAACTTGAAGGTAGGTAAAAAAATATCCAGTCAGAGGACCAGAAAGAAAAACCAGTAAAAGTAATGAAGAAGGCCTATGAAATCTGTGGGACCTCAAGTGGACAAACATATGCATAATTTTGGTCACAGGAGAGAAAAAAAGAAAGAGACTGAAAGAATATTTGAAAAAATAATGCCTAAAAATTTCACAGCTTGATAAAAGACACAAATCTACATATTGAAGATCAATGGTATTGAAGTGGGATAAATGCAAGGAATTCAACACTGAAACACAATATAATCAAACTGTCAAAAATCAAAAACAAA